ATTAATTTTAAGCACATGACTCGATCCATTTTATAGATATATGGTTTTTATTTTTTATAGATATATCTAGTGGTGTAAAAGCTAGATAGCTGCCCCGAGAGACAACATGGATGAAGAAATGATGGATATTATCAACACCGACACTCAATTTACCGATGGTGACCAGCAGGATATAGATGACGGGAGTCAATACCTGGCTCTTGAAAATAACCAAAAAAATATTGTGCAAAAAATACTGGCGAGGTATATATATTTATATATATATTTGAATATTATATATATATATTTGAATATCTATCATCTATTATGTGTACACATGATATTTATTTATTCTTTTTTTATACGTAGCCCTCTGGATCGACGACCACAATGGCGAAAAGCAAAAATATTCGAGGCCCGAAAAAGCCATTGAAGGGGCGCTACATAATATCGGAATTCAATATCGAGATAGGCAAACCACTTGGTCCACATGCAAGGAAATTCGTGCAACACTGTGGGTACCTTGTAAGGGACAGACTTCCGATCAGTGTCCGTGAATGGAAGCAAAAGATCAACGAGCCTCATGTTAGTTTTGTCTCTGATCTTGAAAAGAATTTAATTTGGGATGATATCCTTCAACATTTCACGTTGCAAGCGGTTGATTATGATGATATCAACGATGATGAATTGAAGGAGCTAGTTCAAAAGTGGGCTACGAAGAAGATGGCCACACAATTCCAGACTTGGAAGAAATCTCTATACACGAAATACGTCAAGAAGAACCTAACGCCCAATTTCAATACTAGGGGCCTGCTCGTGAAGTTGAGGCCCTACTAGAATGATTTTGTACAGTACAAGACATAGAAAGAGGGTGAGGAACGGGTGAGAAGGAACCAAGAGAATGCCAGACAGAAGGTATACCACCATGGCATGGAATCAGGTGGCTAAAAGACTGCCATTCCCAAGTGGGAAAAAATAGAAGCGGACATTCTTACCAAGGGTATCACACCAGAATCACTCAATTGGCCCAAACGCGCGAAGAATTGGTTTTTCGCTCATGGGGGAAGACTGGACCTAGAGACCGGGAAGCTGGTTTATGGCCCAAAACTCAAAAGAGCAACACAAAGATTTTCTTACGCTCTACAAGCTAAAGCTATTGGTGCGTTCAGGCCCAATAGAGAGAAGGATGAACTAACGTATGCCATCGGGACTGCTGAACACAGTGGTCGAATGAGAGGTTTAGGATGGAACATTTCTTGGGAGCATGGTTTCCCTAACGACAGATATACCTACAGAAGCCGGCAGAGAAGGAAGGATGAGGAAACAACGCGGATCAGCAGGTTGGAGGAATATGTTCGTGAGTCACGGGAGGCGTTGCTCCAAGCATAGAAGCGCGAAAAAGACATGCAAGCTAGAATGCAGGATGAAATCATAAAGCAAGTGCAAATAGCAATGAGTGCCCAAAAGCAGGCATCAAATCCAGGAATCAACATTAATATTAGCCCCCCTGATCAGTTGAAAAGCAGTTGCGCTTCCACGGAGTCGCCAAATCAAGATGATACAATGCTATGTTTCCCCGTGGATGACATCACTGCACCGTTTACATCATGTGAGCTACATATTCCAAAAGGGAATGCCACAATCATGGTGGCTCTCGGTGTTTTTTCTCCTCCAGATCCTACCAAGACACCAAGAATTCATGGGGCAATAATACCACCTAGATATGTTAGCGTCTCAGTGAATAGAGTTAACAAAGGTTTTAGTGATCTGGCTCTTGACATTTTAGGAGGTGATGGGGAGAAGACTCTAGGAGAAGCAAAGAAGACATTCATACTATGGTGCAAGCGCTACATCATTATTCCTAGGGTCTCTAGTCCACCGCCGTTTCTTCAACTGCCAGACAATAGGTGCGGACAAAAGTGAGCGAAACAATTTTTCACTAATTTTCTATTGACATGCATGATTAATAATAACAATTTATTATACCTAATTATTCTTTTTTGTACTCACAAAGCAGGGCCTCCGCCAACCTAAGTCCAATTATTAAATCTCCAGATCATCATAGTGCTCCGGACAATCAGGTGGCAACGCCGCCACCGCCGCCACCTCCAAGGAGGTCTCCAACGGCTGCCCCGCCTCCCTTGATGACCAAGAAGCAGCCAGCTCCTAAGAGGTCCACCCCGCAAACAAAGCCGTTGGCCCACCAGCTGGCAAAGAAGAAAGCCTCCTCTAATCCAGTTATTCAAAAAACTGTCTTACGAGAAAAGTGAAAAGAAATTAAATGCTGCAGTACAAAAAGTTGTGAATAGTTTCTTCGAAAAAGTAAGAAAGCAACGAGAAGCGAGGGAGAACCTGGAGAAACCGTACTTCTACCTACCTCCAGATCTTCTAAGAAAGAAGGTGGACTAGAAAAAGCGGGAATCTCAAAAGACCCTACCAAAATCGGACTACGACCGCTCTCTCACCAAGTCATTTGAGGCGGCGCAGAAAAAGACTAGAGCAGGGAAAGGTGTTGCACAACTCGGACAACAATCGCAACAATCAGTCCCCTCTCTTATCATTCGTAATAAATATGGTTCAAACTTAGACTTACTGGACGTCGATTTTGAGGACCTGGTTTGGTTTTACGAGGATACCGGTTTGGACCTTGCCCAAGTGCTCGCTGAAGAACCTTCTGCTCCGAAAGTGGATCCTTGGAAGAAATTTGAACATGGAAAGAGTCTATACAACCCTAAGGCCTTAGGTGAACTGGGTACGCAAATGTACCTGCTAAACAAGTGGTACATGGCGGCGTGTGAACGGGGAGAGAACTTTGTTTCTATCAGAGTTAGAAACCAACATTACTTCCGTGGCGATGACGTTATATATGTCGAGTTTTTAGAATTACACCAACTATGCCACCTGGACTCTCTCGATAAAAGTCTCATTAGTTGCTATTGTCTGTAAGTGTGATTATTTTCTACTATTAAAGTGTGTATATATAAAGCTACATGTATATATATAAATTATATATCCTCACACTATATTTTTATATATGCAGATATAAGATGACAGAACTCAGAAAGAGACAGGATAATGATGTTGGTTTCATTGATCCAAATGTCGTATTCAAACACCCTAATCCCCCGCCTCAATGGAAAGCTAAACTCGAGAAGAATCTCATAAGGTTCTTAGTGAACCAACAAAATAAGGACATACTCTTCCCCTACAACTTCAAGTGAGTGTTAAATAATTAATGTCGATCATATGGATATTTGTTCAATTATTTGCTTACTAGCTAAGCTATCTCCCATATATATATGTTGACTCTAGTTAATGTCGATCACATTTGTGTATAAAAACATATGCAGCAATCACTAGATATTGATGGTCATCGATATGGCCAATAGTCGGTTGAGCATCTTAGACTCGTTAAGAAAAGAGCAAACAGAGTACCAAGACATGATAGATATTATCCAAGGGTAATTTGGTCTCTCTAGCAACTATATATACCCCGATCTCTTAACTGCAACAATTATTAAAGGTCAAATTAATTTTTTATTTTATTGGGCGCAGTGTTTGAAAAAGTTTCATTGAGGAACACCACATGAAACATTGCAAAATGTCACTGGATATAATCGCACACAAAGTAAGTACTAACTACATTTATATATATATATATATATAATTCAATTAACACCATGCATGCTTTCAATTCACCGGACCTTTTTTCTCGTAAAAGTGGGTTCTGAGGCAAGAACATGAGAACATTGCGAGTTCATCATGGCGTACTAAAAAAAACTCCTAAAGAAAACCTCAAAATACGTTATATAAATATATTCATATATTTATAATTTCTTTTATTGCTCATATGTATAAGTAATCACGTAACCAACACACACACATATATATATATATATATATATATATATATATATATATATATATATATATATACTTTTCCTTTAACTTTTATTGAAGACTCTATGGTTGAAGAAAAAAAATCATACGACATGACCAACTGAAAGCAATTCAAGATAGCATAGCAGGATTTCTTAATGACCAGGTCTTAAACCCCGCCGACGAGTTCTACAATGAAATGAACGAAACATGGAAGCCAAACCAGATGGAGTGAATTTGTTATCCAAAAAATATGATAGAATATACAATACAAACTTTATTTGTAATATATATATATATATTATATGTACATAAAATAACGTACAATATATGTATATGCATGTAATATATACGTTAGTTTCGTACTTTAGTTTGTATAAAATGTTCGAACATATAAACGTGTAGAATACGTATATTATTAGCAGCGTATAATACGTATTCGAAAACCTATTCAAAAACCAAAACGAATCATCAATTGGCTATTTGTATTCGGATCTGATCTAATTACATGTATTATGCCTGCTAACTTGGATCCCTTTCAAAGGTTATCATCCGTATATGTGCACAGCCATGTCCTTTACTGGATCTGTGCCTGCAGATCTATGTTCTTGCACTGAACCGAGAACTTATGCTCTTTATCCTTTATTAAAGTGGCTACAGAATAAGTTATTTTTATAGCCAGCTGCAAAGTAGCAGTTTATATATATATATATATATATATATATATATATATATATATATATATATATATATATATATATATGAAACTGTATTCTACTGCGAATCACCCGGAGGTCATCGTCTGATTACTACAAATCACCTCACCCCTGTCGTACGTAATTGCCTCGCTAATCAGCCCCGCGCCGCGCGTTTAGCCCCGCCCGCGCTCTCTACCGCGGAACCGCCCACGCGCGCGCAGAACCTGCTGCTAGGGATCGGCCGCGTCACGCTCTGCCGTCATCGCGCTCGTTGTCGCGCTCTGCCGTCTTCGTCGCCCTCGTCGTCTCGCTGCGCCTCGCCCTCACCCTCTCGACGGCGCGCACTGCTAGTGTGGCTAGGCGACTCGCCGCGCAAGACCTTCCTCAGGCCCAGGTATTCTCTTCCTCTTCCCTGCACCCACCCCTTCTTTCCTTCTTGAATTCATGGCCCAGGTGCGGGATTTAATTCCTATGCTGTTCTCCGTACTCCAGCAGCAACCGGCGGCAGTGGGCGTGGTGATCCGTGGTTGCCGAGACGGCGAGACCAGCGGCTGCAGCCGCGTGGTTCCACTCCTCGCCGTCGTGACTGGGGTTCCAGGGGACGAGGGACCACCGGAGGTCCCCAAGTCGAAGGGGATAGCAGCCACGGCATCTCAGCCATCTACACCAGCATTCACAGCCCTGGCAGCACCCACAACCAACACCTTCGACACTGGACTCGACGTCAACATCAATAGCGTACAGGAGGTGTTTGATGGAATACCCGTGAGGTAAATAGCACGTCCTTTGGTCTCCATGTGTGTGCCATGAATCACTGGATATTACATGTACCAGCACTTCTGTGTGTTCTGTTCCTTCTCATTTCAGGTTTCAAGTTTTAATAACAGTTTGGTGTACTATTGATGTGAGGGACAATTGTTTGGCGGACATCCAAAGTGATGGTCGTTAGCTGGCGGACACCCCGTTTTGAGCAGTTTGCCAGAAGAAATTAGGCCACAGGACACCGCGGACCGGTTGCAGGCGGTTGAGGAGAGAGATCAGCAGTGAAATGATATTTTTACCCCTGCCGCTTTCTTCTTCCTCTCCCCCTTTCTCTTTTTTTTTTCTATTTCCTGTCCCCGCCACCCTCTCCGCCTCCTGCACCCGGCGTCGCGGGCGGCTGCGCCTCCGACGCCCGCGCCTCCGGCGGCCCGCTTCGGCGCCGCGCCGGGCCGCGGCTACTTCATCCACACGGCGGCGACAGCGGCTCTCCATGGCGGCAGCGCTTCCCATATGATCGGGGTATAAAAAATTAATTTGGCCTTTAATAATTGTTGCAGTTAAGAGATCGGGGTATATATAGTTGCTAGAGAGACCAAATTACCCTTGGATAATATCTATCATGTCTTGGTACCCCGATCATATGGGCGCAGTGTTTCATGTCTTTTTCAAACACTGCGCCCATATGATCATGTCTTGCAACAATTATACCCCGATCATATGGGCGCAGTGTTTGAAAAAGTTTCTTTAGGAACACCACATGAAACATTGCAAAGCGTCACTGGATATAATATCGAACACAAAGTAAGTACTAGCTACATTTATATATATATAATTCAATTAACACCATGCATGCTTTCAATTCACCGGATCTTTTTTCTCGTAAAAGTGGGTTCTGAGGCAAGAACAGGGGAACAACTACTGCGGATACTATGTTTGCGAGTTCATCATGGCGTACGCAAAAAGAACTCCTAAAGAGATCCTCAAAGTACATTATATAAATATATTCATATATTCACAATTTCTTTTATTGCTCATATATATAAGTAATTACGTGACCAACATATATATATATATATTAATACTTTTCCTTTAACTTTTATTGAAGACTCTCTATGGTTGAAGGAAAAAGTCATACGACGTGACCAACTGAAAGCAATTCAAGAGACCATAGCAGGATTTCTTAATGACCAGGTCTTAAACCCCGCCGGCGAGTTCTACAATGACGTGAACGAAACATGGAAGCCAAACCAGATGGAGTGAATTTGTTATCCCAAGGATATGATAAAATATACAATGCAAGCTTTATTTGTAATATATATATATACATATTATATGTACATAAAATAACGTACAATATATGTATATGTATGTAATATATACGTTAGTTTCATACTTTAGTTTGTACAAAATATTCGAACATTATAAGCGTGTAGAATACGTATATTATTAGCAGCGTAGAATGCGTATTCGAAAACCTATTCGAAAACCAAAACGAATCATCAATTGAAAATAGAAACAAAAAGAAGAAAAAAAATGAAACATTTAGTCCTGGTTGGTAATACCAACCGGGACTAAAGGGCCGGCCCACGTGGCCAGGCCGGGAGGGCGAGAAACCGGGACTAAAGGAGGGGTCCTTTAGTCCCGCATTCGTGCTCCCGGTTGGGAAACCGGGACTGAAGGGGTTTCCCAACCGAGAGTACAGCTCGTTTGTGTAGTAGTGTGGGTAGCACGGTTGAGATCAGTAACTAACTGGCTAGCATCACTCGTTGTTCATTCCATGGTATGCTTGAAAAAGGCGCATGATGTGGCAATGAGTGTTGGTACATGACATGGCCTACTAGTTTCTTGTGGTAGAACCGTAGAAGTGGTTCTAGCAGTCTAGCTAGAAGACACATGAGCATGATTGTGATGAATTTAATGATGTTTTAGCTTAAAGAAGGCAACTATGATTATTCACAAGAGAAGATAAAAGATATTTGAAAAATTAAAAATTATGAGGACCAAGGAACTGAACAATTTTTGAAAGACTTGGATAGTAGTTTTGTCGAGTAATAGAGCTCACCAAGAGAAAATTGAAGGCCACCATGATTTGACCTCAATAGAAATTGTACAACCATAGGGGAAAAAAAGAAAGACGACAATAGTCAAGGAATTAGTCGATGTTAGAAATAAATATGGAGTTCATGCCAGGAGATGCAGTAGAGGCAGATGGAGAGAGGATTACAATCAAAGAAACAAATAAAATTATTTACTAAAAATATTCTCAAGTAAAAAAACAAATAAACAAAAAAGCTAGGTACCCTAGCATTTTATACAGACAACCTTCTTGTTATTACCTGATTGGTCCATTAACTATATATGCAATTAAGGGCCAATAGGAAAGTCTTTGCCCCTCGCCCTTAGGATTTAGTCCAAATAAATTTATCGGTGAAATCAAATGATTTTTGGTTGGGATCTTGTTACCTGCAATGACTTCGGTGATTGCCACGACAAGATTGTCATTGCAGGCGTAGATTTCATCGGTTGGTGGCTAATTTGTGGCCATTATCAGCAAGGAGAGGAATGCTCCTGGGCACTCCCAACGAGGATAATTACTCCGGGTCATCGATCTCATTGTCGATGGTCGCAGGGGCGAAATCAAGGTTTGGAGGTAATGAATCTGCATCCTATGTTGTACCCAACGATGCAACTGCCGATATTTTTTTATCGGTTCACATACGTTTTGGATTGGTTCTAGAACATTGGACCTTGTGGTATATCCAATGTTTTGGAGTTGATCATTAGATCGGCATAAGGACTGCACTCTGGCTTTAGTGTTCACCAAGGTTGTATTCATCGGAAAAAAGCCACTAGGAAAGAAGACGCCGGAAGAATCTAGATAGATTTTTGTACCTTTTTTATTTTAGATTTTTTTCATATGTAATTTGGTGGTGTACTGTGCTGAGTTTTAATATCATTGCCCCTTCCCTTTGCAAAAAAAAAGACTATATATGCAATTAATTCATACATCATTGACTAGCTAGCGTGGTACAAGCAACTACCATGCCAGTTTGCATGCAATGATCCCTTGAGCAGAGACAGCCTCACCAGTTACACCGTTACATCTCTGCACAAGCACATCCCTAAATATATCAGTCAAGAAAGTCAGATACGCAAGTTGCAACAGAAAGTAATCGTCCAACTTGCATTGATATGCGTGAGGTAGCTACACTTAATTATATACGGAGACTAACTGAATATAGCGTGCGATCACATTGTGCGTGCTTTCCTGCTTGGTCTTCGTTTGTTCTCTATATATCCTAATTTGATGAATATTATTAACTGTGAGCACACTTAACTGTCATGCGTGCTGCGTGAAGACAAACACAAGAACGGCGGAACATGCATATGCACACATCCGCGATCACTAATCAAATTAAAGTCACATCAGAAGACATTCCGGGGAGTGCAGAATTTTAAGATTGTTATCATGTGCAAACTCTGATGGCGTATGCATGCACATGCGCGCGATTTACCTAGCACTCCATGGCGTATGCATGCACATGCGTGCGCTTTACCTAGCACTCCATGGCGTATGCATGCACGTGTGAATACGAAGAGTTTGCTGCATGCATACATGGTTAAATTACATATATAATTTTGTTGCGTCTTATTATTATCTCGACGCGTAGCTAGAATTTCACTTTTTGGAACGGAGGTACACTCGAACTACTTTTATCATTGAGTCGGTGAGTCTGCTTCGGACTATCCAGAGGTAGCTGCAGGTATGTTGAAGGCACAGACATTTGGAAGACCCACGGCCGGGTCATTTTCTGGCATTTTAATGTAGCTATAGCAAACATGCATGTCCATGCACCAATGGATCGAAACGTACATCTTATTGTGCATTCACTTGGATGACTTGCAGCTCAAGATCGAGATTCATCGTGTCATCTCTTCCAATATACATGCATCTTGCAATCGGACTCTATACCATGACTAGACACGTGCTGTTCTAATTCATATGAGCATGGATTATAAATTGATATAGAGTCATGGAGAGCTGCGCAAGGGTATTATGAAAAGTAAAATATGATTGGACTTTAATATTATGTATATACATAGACATACATATACTATCGTGTGTATGATCTGGTGGCCAATTGAAGATCGTACAAAGTTGATATAGAGATGAAGTTATCGTGCGACCCGTCGCGCGACTCCTCCCGCCGCCACCTCCCACCACTGTGCCGCGGGCGACACACCGCCTCGACACACCACTCTCCGCTTGTCCCTGCTTCTGCCAACTGCTGACTTTGACCCACTGCTACCAACCTGTCGTCAAGGTTTTAGGGAAATAAATTTACTATTTCTGTCGCTTTTGTTCCATTGCGTTAGCATATTTTTGTCGGTAAACCGACAAAGGAAATCAGTTTCTGCATTTTTTTGTCGGTATTTCGTACTTCCCAGACGGTTTTTCACCGACAGAGAAATTCCGATTTTCCGTGGTGGTATTGCCTGACACATGTTCTATTTGCCCCCACTAGCTGCAGCCCACGCACGAATGGTTGATTGTTATAGGCCACGTGTCTCCTATTGCACGTCCATCAAACTAAGGCACCGTTGCATATAGTTTTTTTTTTCAGATTTTAGGATCAAGAGAGGAGGAAGTAAACCTAACTCCGGCGGAGGGGTGGCGCATCGATAGATGGCCGGCGACCGGATGCAGATTAGAGTTTGCGTTGATATATACGCCACCATAGGTTACATTTGCACCAAAGATGATTCCGTTTCACAGCGCCGCATCATCAGCTGCACCAATTTATTTGTTGTTTTTTACTTATATACGTGCCACTTCTAATCTTTTTTTTCTCGATCAGGCGTTGTGCCGCCACTTCTGATCCGTTTACGATAACCACTGTTCGGTTAGCAAATGAAGAAGCCACTTATAACATTTCCATGCAGGCACACGCAGCACACACACCCACATCGACGATATCAAGCTAGCTACGTACGCAATTCATCACACAGCT